CTCTACTGCTTACCTAAATTTTTCAGTAAGGACAGAGGAAGAATCAGGATGACAGACACCAGCAGCACTAAATAGTCACCATTAAGATACCATTCTCTGTAGAAAAAAAAAAAAAAGGCAGCATTTGTAAGTAACGGAAGTATTTAAAAATTGCAGTCTAGTCTTCACTTTTATTTTCTATAACACATGGCTTCCTAAAAAAATGTAGTACTTGATGTTCAATTTACTATATGGAACTTAGGCCCTACCATACCCTTTCATCTCACCCCAAACCTGCATTGTGCCTTTCCTTTAGTGTCCTTTTCTAAAATTAAAATGCATCTGGAAGTCAGAAGACAGGAAAGTAAACGACTGGTCAGAAAAAAAGGCAACTGGGATCAATAATGAAAAAATAGTAACTTGCTTCAATGTTGGTTCCCAACTCTATTAGAATATTGCAGGGCCCCAGCAGGGTGGTGATCCACTTGTAATGGAAATACAATTGTGCTGGGTGCCCTGCGGGAGTTGAAAAACAGGTGAGGGCTGGAGTTAAGGCAGTAGCCTTGAGCCCCCTGGCTGAGAAAACTTCAACAAGCATTGGGAGTCTCCTGGAGGCACATTCAGTCCCTTTCAGTAGGGAAACTATGATAAGAATCTCAGACGTCTTCTTCCTTCAGATAATTTTTGCCATTTATTTTGTAAGAAGCAACATCTACTTTTTTGACAAAACATTTCTGAGTGTTAGAAAGATTTACACCTTCCTTTGAAACACAGAATAACAAAATTAGATCTGTGTAAATACAACGTAATTTCACTGAACAGAAAAACTTGTCTTGAGTATTTAATTGTGGCAAGGTAATTGCTTTCTTTGTCTGTCCTACAGGATCATCCACTAAGCATTTATTCACAAATATTAATACATTATATCCTGTTGAACATAATTTAACGGTATTTTAAAATGGACTGTATTCCATTTAGGTAAACAAAAATGAATTACTTAACTGGAAATTTGTGCATTCAAACTCAATTGCTGAATTATAAGCCTACAATACAGTAGCAGAATTAAGGAATAGCCTCAACTGATTTGCTCTGGATTTAGGTAGTAAACGCAAAAAAACCCCAAAAGAACAAAACCAAACTCATCTCTTTCCCCAGTTTTATCTGGGAATCTGGGATAACTATATGTAGAAAATGTACTTTAGAACATTCAGACAGGTATGACATTAATGTCACGTCCCTTTTGTCGTCTTTTTTTTTTTTTTTTAATGTAGCAGTCTTGTGGTAAATTTAAATTAAATCATACCACAGAAATTCCCTGCACTTCATACAGACATAAGAATGTGACCATGCCCCATGTGGAGGCCATCAGGACTTTCAGACCTAGGACTCATAGGTCTGTGCTCAAGAGTAAAGAATGGAATTGCATGGCTTTAAAATACAGCCAAGTGTTTAAAAAATTGCTAAATCAATGTTAATAATGGAGCTAGTATTTGTAATACTGTCTCAGAATTCCAGAGCATCTTCTACACTAAGCATTATTTCGGGACATGTAAACAGGTAAGTGCTTACATTTTCGGCACCAGGCTGCCAGAGTGGAATCCATGCCAATAGTAGCCACCCAGACTCCCCTAAGCAATGCATGGAGAGAGTCAGTTAAATGGGGTCCACAATTGCCAGAGCAGTGAGAAAAGATTTACTTTAAATCAGTGTACAGCTACCTGGTAGCTAGCCACTAAGAAAATATTAAGATACAAATCTTAATGTTGTAATTCTGTCTGCCAGGTGCTGCAGAGCAGCAGCTGTATCCAGTGAGATTCACAGCCTTTAACTTTTCCTCTTGAACTGCAACTGATTTCCAGTTCTTTTCTGAAGATGGGACAGTTAAGAAATACTTGCCTCCAAGCCCCCTCGTAAGTAATTGGCTTCTCCAGGGACTTTCTTAAGAAGTAGAAAATAAAGACTTGGATTCAGCCAAAGGGGGAAAATGAACCCTCCCAGAAAATAATTTCTAAACATTACACTATTAAGTAAATAGGGTGGGTGCATTGAGTACATTAAAAAAAAATAAAATAAAAAAAAATTCAAAAAGATAGATGGCTAGTACTGTTGTCATGACAATATCTATCAGCAAGTTGTATGAACATCACCAAATGGCCTGAACCCCTTGGGGAACACAGGCAGAAAAATGCCTACCTTCTGAACTCAGGCTTAGGTGTAAGTTGGAGTCTTGAGCTGCTCAACCCCCTCAAGACTGGGACACTTCAGGACAAGGCACAGAAGTACAACTCTGAAGAGTGAGATTTATAGCACTTAACTCTATCCATCTGAAGTCAGGCATCTTTAGTTAGCTATTTTTATACACTCTTCCAGTGCAGAGTGATATGAATAAATCGCCCTTTGGAGATGTCCAAAACAGGTGTCCAAGCCAGGTGCACTGAACTGACCACTATGGTCACTTTTCTCCATTGATTATACAAACAGCAAAGTAATTATGATCTCAAAGTCTAAATTCCAGATGGAACAGTTAGATAAAATGAACCCCACTCAAGGCACCTACTTTTAAAGCCAAAGCAGGAAAGCCACTATGGAGTCAAGGTGTCTCCAGGGCTAAAAGGCAATCCCTTCACCATTTCAGCCTTGGGCTTATTAACTCTGTTTTAATTCAGTGTTTAGTCCTCATGTCTTTTTGAGAACTGTTCCTTAAGACATTAATTATATAACTGCACTTTAGTCTTACATTTAATCAGTTCCCACAATAATGCCACTAGAAAACCAAAATAATCAGTCCAAACCAGTTGGAATGCATAATAAAAAAAATCCCCAACCATAACCACCTTTACCTTTCCTTACTAAGAGTATGTACTGACTGGTACATACATTAACACTTACCTGATGTTCTTTAGAGAACAGCTTTCTCTAATATGTTTCAATACATATATTTTCCTACCCTTTTCCCAGGACCGACTGGATCTAAATGAAGTGGAGGACTCAGGGGAAGGGCAAACTTACTGTATCTCTGTCTGAGTAAGAAGCTACCCTATGGTGTACCGAACGTGGTCTTCATATAAAAATGTATCAGTCTCCGTATTTGTTTCTCCTAATAGTTTCTCTGATGAGGAGATCTAACACCTACCCTGTAGTATCTTCGATGTTCATAAATGTCTTGATGACCAATGGTAACTCATATTTCACTATGAAGAGGTAGCTTGACATAGCTGTAGGTGAATAACATCATAGATCATTACAAATACAGAATATGCCACAAGATGCAAGAATCACATAACATGTTTCATAACTTCACTTGAACACAAGCAGTTAATGAACACATGTTGTGTGAAAAAAAAGTCTCCAAGCATAAGTAGGGAACAATTACTATTGACAGTACAGTTATTTTAAGATCTTGTCCTCACCTCCAATGTTCTGCATTGTAATTGATCCAGAAGCAGCAAGTTTTCCAGCCATGCCAAATGCCTTCATTCCTAACTGTTCATACAATAAAGATCCTGAAAGAAAACAAAGTAATCCATTGGAAGGGTGTGTTTCACAAAGATACCATACAAAACAAACACCACGTCTGTAAAATAGTAATCTGCCATACCTCCTTCATTGGCAGTCTTCAAAAGGAGATGCACTGAATACAAAGAAAATATCGAAACAAACAGCAGGAGAATCCTGATGGGAAAAAAACATGCAACTTTTTAATAGTCATAAATCACTTATTGTAACCTTATTAAATAAAGGCAGATCACACAAAAATTAATCATATTAAAATATTATCTGCGAAAACCCTGTAGGCTCTAAGGCCAGCTAAAAGCATTCTGAAAACCCAGCTAATGCCTAGTTTAGAAAGGATTTTATACTGAAACACATTTCACTGGCATTCAGAGACATTCTAGCATAGGATTAAACAACGCTTACATGTGATATAAGGTGGCGTAAGCACCAGCATGTGTCAAGGGCATTATAATTGGCTACATATGCTATAAATAACAAAGTGTCAATTGGAACATTTTAGAAACTGTATTTCTCCTGTTTTCCTACCCTTGTTCAACAGTGTTTCATTAATATACCGAACTTGGGAGTTGTAACTGTAGCTAAAGTGAAGATTATCTCTTGGTTTTACATAAATCAGCTTTTCAGCTTAAACCTGTGTTATGTCTTTGTAATGTAAAGATAAAACTGCAAAAGCCTTAAAGAACTGACTGAAAAGTCAGACTTTTTGAGAGCTGTCACTTCAAATGGAAATGCATCCTTATTGTCATAAAAGGAAAAAAAAGAGAATATTTTCTTTGCTCAAAAGTTACTTTTCATATGAGCTTACATGGGAATTGCTAGCGGCTTGTTCATTTTCCTCACAGCTTTTACACACAATATGCATTATTTCCAGAAGCACATTTGAAACATCTAAGATTTGGATCTCTCAACAGTCTCTCCCACAAGAAATGCACTTCCTTGAGTGGCACACTAGGGGGGGAACTTCTCAGCTGCTGAAGAACACAGTGGAAAATTACAACAGCAAAAAAACCCCAAACCAAAACAACCAACCCTGCCTGCCCTTTCTTGTATCAATACAAGCGTTCTGCTTTATAGGAAACCTAACAATCAGCATATCTGCTCAAAACCAGCCAGCTTCATTTAGAGTTCCCAGAGCACCCTTTACATGTCCTTTGGTGTCATTTTTAATGTTGGTGAAATCAGAAAACACAGCACAAATAACTGGAAACAAGAACGTCTGAGAAAAGCTTCATAGATCTGTGCAAGAAAACCTGGAAACTTGTGTTCCTGTGCCAATTCAACACCAACATGCAGACAAATAAACCTCAGTATTTCTGGCAGAGATCAATCAGGATTTAATTTAGCCATCAAGTAGAAACAGCACAGTGAGACGTCCAAGTTTACATTTCATTAAAAAAGCACAGATCCTGGACCCCCTCAGACCTAACCCTGAAGGGCTGCCTACAGTGCGAACAACATCAGTCAGCAAACTCATCTCAAAGCTCACTCAGTTTCTGGCTTCCAGACCGTATCTTTCATTTATTTAGTGCTGACACAAGTGACAAGTCACAGCACTGACACAAGTGACTCCACACAGCCTTTGAAGAATTTACTGCCTTAATCAACTGCATCTGGATCTGAATCTGTAACCTAGTTATTAAAGAATGTCTGTAATATCCTGAGTGTCATCACAAATCCTCAGCATCATCAGTGATTGACTGCTTTCCTGCTTTGGAACTATGCAAATTACACTCAGCTTTGAAAGGCAACAAGCTAGTTTATCTTTTAATCAGTACTAATGCAAATAGATCTGAATGCAGTATCTGGAAGTGAAAGCTAACTAACTGACCTCAGCACTTAATTCAGAAAAAAGGACCCCCACTATACGCAAATATGTCCAAATATCTAATCTTAAACTCTTTTTCTTCCTCTTCCTCTCTTCAGAGATGCTCTAATGTGCATGATGCTGATTTATCTTTTATGTGCTGCAGAACACCTTTAGAGCATGAAACTGACATGTAGATAGATGAAGTATCTGTCTCTTCTGAATTCACACACAAGCTGTTCACAATCGTTTTAGCATAATCTAAATAAGTCAAAATCTTAGCCAAAAATTAACAAACCACCCTATAGTTAAAATACTTCAGATCAAAACTTTATACTCTGGTAGTTTCCTCGGGAAAACATGAACACCACCTTGATACAGTGAAATAACAAAGTAAATCCAACCTCCAACATTCTCCAAGTCCAGCAATAAGTAAAGCAAATTTAGAACTAAACATTACTCTTAAACATTTAGCACACATATCTATTTCCAGGATAAAAATACAAAGTTCCTCACACATATCCATGGATTCCCACTTGCACTGAGTCACTGATATTACATGTTGTTTAAACTGAACTGCCTCCAGTACATGAAACGTGTACACTCCCAAGACATACAGAAGCACTGTACACAATCATTTCCTCATGCCCTTCCCAGTTACACTACTGTAGTCTTATACCTGAGAGCTTTTGCCAATACAGACATGATGGTTATTCCACACCCCTCCTATGCAGGGAGAGAGAGATTTTTATAGCTGAAACCAGTTACCTAAATCAAGTAAATGCACATCAATGGAAAGGCTTGTTTAACTGGTACAAGTACACTGTACACAGGCACATCTGTCAGTTGAGGCACAGACCATGTCCCTGATTGATAGGACTGTAATGTTTAAGAGCAGACACAGCCAGACTTGCAAGAAACAAATACAATAATCTTCTTCTGCCTACATTTTTCTTCTAATGCTTTACATCCTGATCCTGTACTTTTTGTGCAATTGTGACTTCCACTAACCTAAAAGTTCCTGTTGTTGTACATTTCAATCAGTGAACTCTGAAGGAAAAAGCTAATACAGTCTGTTAAGTAGCACCTCTTTCCCACTAAGATAAGCGGAGTTTCAAGGTCAGTCTACCAGTTATTAATGGAGAAAATACAGCTAGTTAAGAAAGATCTCTGTAAAATGCTCTAATGGTTTCAGAATTTGCAATGAAACTTTAACGTATCACAGTATTTATTAAAACAAGCCGTAAATCCTACAATTCTGCACTTAGGGCAACAACGAGGTATTCTGTAAAGGTCATAGTCTCACACCAGGTAGTTTTCCATTATTAATTACACAGCAAATTTATTTATTTATTTTTATGAACCAAAAGATACTCACACAAAAAGAGCAATTCCAGTGTTAGCCATGGCAAAAGAAAGACCAAGGATGCCACTACCCACAATAGCATTGCTCAGATTAAATACTGACATTCCAAAGGAAGTAGTACCCGGATGCTGAGAAAAAGAGAGGCAATAATTAATAGAAAGGTATTACCAATTTCAGAATTAAACACGTTTGGCAAGAAACCTTTTTCTTTTTTCCCTTCCCCTCCATTTTTTGAAGCATCATTGCTCTGTACTTACATACTGAGTTTCGTATTTCTTCTTTCCAACACTGGAGTCCAGCAAGAAATTCTGATTTTCTGGATCAATATCTGCATAGTGGCTGTAAAAAAACATTGCATCCTCAGCGACTACCACAGGCATCGCGCACGTTCATTCACCTCCCACTCCGAAG